CCCCAAACCTGTCCCCAACTGTCCCCAGCTGTCCCCAACCCTGTCCCCGACCCTGTCCCCAACCCTGTCCCTGTCCCCAACCCTGTCCCCATTGTCACCCTGGGGTTGGGGTGTCCCCAAGGTGTCCCCGAGGTGTCCCCGAGGTGTCCCCAGGGGTGTCCTGGTGTCCCCGAGGTGTCCCGAGGTGTCCCCGAGGTGTCCCCAAGGTGTCCCCGAGGTGTCCCCGAGGGTGTCCTGGTGTCCCCGAGGTGTCCCCGAGGTGTCCCCGAGGGTGACCCCGCTCCCGTGTCCCCCAGGCCGCCGTCCCCGAGGCGCCGCCGTCCCCCGGCGATGGCAGCGAGGCCGAGGGGCCCCGGAAGGGGGAGGAGGAGGAGGGGCCCGGCCACAGAGAGCCCGAGGCCGAAGGAGCCCCGGCCCGCGAGGAGCGGCCAGGTGAGAGCCCGGAATCCGGGGAATCCCAAATCCCGGGAATTCCGAATCCCGGGAATCCCAAATCCTGGGAATCCGGGGAATCCCGAATCCCGGGAATCCCGAATCCCGGGAATCCCAAATCCTGGGAATTCCAGAAACCCCAAATCCCAGGAATCCCAAATCCCGGGAATCCCGAATCCCGGGGATCCCGAATCCTGGGAATTCCAAATCCCGGGAATCCTGAATCCCGGGAATCCCGAATCCTGGGAATCCGGGGAATTCCAAATCCCATGAAATCCCAAATCCCGGGAATCCCGAATCCTGGGAATCCCGAATCCCGGGGAATCCCAAATCCTGGGAATCCGGGGAATCCCAAATCCTGGGAATCCCGGGAATCCCAAATCCCGGGAATCCCGAATCCTGGGAATCCTGAATCCTGGGAATCCTGAATCCCGGGAATCCTGGGAATCCTGAATCCTGGGAATCCTGGGAATCCTGAATCCTGGGAATCCGGGGAATCCCAAATCTTGGGAATCCCAAATCCTGGGAATCCTGAATCCTGGGAATCCGGGGAATCCCAAATCCCGGGAATCCTGGGAATCCCAAATCCTGGGAATCCGGGGAATCCCAAATCCCGGGAAATTTCAAATCCCAGGAATTCCAAATCCTGGGAATCCCAGAAACCCCAAATCCCGGGAAATCCCAAATCCTGGGAATTCCAAATCCCGGGAAATTCCAAATCCCAAAAATCACAGAAATCCCAAATCCCGGGAATCCCGAATCCCAGGAATTCCAAATCCTGGGAATTCCAGAAACCCCAAAAAACTGAAATCCTGGGAATCCTGAATCCCGGGAATTCCAAATCCCGGGAATCCCAAATCCCGGGAATCCCAAATCCCAGGAATTCCAAATCCCAGGAAATCCCAAATACTGAAAATCCTAAATCCCAGGAATCCCAAATCCTGGGAAATTCCCCAAATCCCGGGAAATTCCCCAAATCCCGGGAAATTCCCCAAATCCCGGGAAAATCCCCCAAATCCCGGGAAATTCCCCCAAATCCCGGGAAATTCCCCAAAATCCCGGGAAAATCCCCAAATCCCGGGAAATTCCCCAAATCCCGGGAAATTCCCCAAATCCCGGGAAATTCCCCAAATCCCGGGAAATTCCCCCAAATCCCGGGAATTTCAAATCCCGGGAAACGTCCCCGATTCCGCAGGTGCCGAGGCCGAGAAGGGGGCGGGGCCAGAGAAAGGGGAGGAGAAAACCCCGGAG